CACACAAGACTCAGGGTCCCTCCAGTCAGACTCCCCTGCTATGACACATCACGTGGGCGGCTGTCACCCTGCCTTCCTCGCATCGCCCTGGGGGAGCTGGGCTCAGGGAAACGGTGCAAAGATGGTATTATGGCCACTACTACTGTTATAATAAACCGCCCTTCACCTCTGAGCATGGAGTCTTGTGTCTTCAACCAGCATCCGTGAAACTCTAGTGGGCTGATCTGTCAGCTTCAAGTAGAGTAAAATCTCAGCCCCTCTACAGTTCTTGATAGTCACTTCCATTCATAGCTCATAGCTGAAACTAGTCATATGGTCCCAACCTAACCCTTCTTGCTTTATTATTAAAAATCTTAATGATACAAATAGATCAAATTCATATACATAGGCAATCTCATTCCATAGAAAGATGGACAAAACACTTGAAGAAGTACTTCACAGAAGAGACAGAACCAACTGGCCAATAAATGCAGGAAGATATGTTCTACCTTATTAATAATCAGACTGTTAATTAAAAGCCACAAGGACATGTGTGGACACTATTCACACTGGCAAAAAGTAAGAAGTCTGAAAATATCAGCTACTAGTGAAGATGTGGGACAAAGTGACCTCATTCATTGCACACCATGCACACAAACCCTTAAGAAACTCCTGCATATGTGCGATCAGGATACAAGCACTCATGCAGCATTGGGTTACAAGCCCGCCCCAGCATCCGTCCACAGTGCAGGTGGGTCTCACAAACACAAAGCAAAACAACAAGTCAAAGACATGTGCCATATGTAATTCTATGCATGTTTAAAAGTATGCAAAGCTCAACTGCGTAATATTTAGGGATGCATATACGTGGGGCAAGTATAAAGGCAGGAGTGATAAATATAAGAAGTGGGAGAAAGGATGACAGGATCAGGGAGAAACAGAGAACTGTAAAGGTAATGATAATCTTTCTTTTTTTAAAACCATGGTGGGTACGCAGACCTTTGTTTTATCATTACTCCGTATAACTCACAAATATTTTATAAAGGTTCTTTTATACATCTTTATAACTATGTAAACATTTATGACATTTTATAATTTGATATTTATATAACAGCTAACAAAATCAAATTTTAATAATGAAATGAGATTTTTTTATTGGAAATTAAAATAAAATGGCATTTTTAAAAGTTCAGAGTGGGTAAAAAAAAATGAAATTGTTTTTAAGTCTGTACCTGCTCAAAGTTGAAATTGTAACATTTTTTAACCTTATTGATGTAACAAAAGTATTTCACTTAGTCTAAACTCTTCTTTGTACATTGCCAGTCATGTTTATCTATATGCCAACAAACCTTGTATAGAAAATTCTACAAGGATTCTCAAAAAAGACCAATGTGTATTTGGGAAATCTTGCCTTTACCATGTGACATGGCACAGCTGTTCATGACCTGCGAGTCCTGGAAACACAATCGGCCTCAGGCAATTTGGACAGCACGGTAGCTAGAACTCACTCCAGGTTTGTTCTACAACCTCCACTAACTGAAAACCTTCTCTTTTCCTTTCCTACTGATCTCTTATTGCTAATGCTACACAGGGAAAACGCACTGTAACCAACTACACTGGCAATCCAAACTGCCCTGTTCCTAAAATTTTAGACTATCTAATAATTAGAAATTACTTAAGAAATTGACATCCCTGCTCTGTATAAACTGTGTAAAGAGTAGACACAGAGCCTCTTTGGGACTTTTTTACCTACTGGAGGAGGAAGTTTCAGCTACATAACTCTCCTTTCCCTTGTCCTTTTTATCAAGTGACTTTTGTGGCTGTGCAGGTAGGAGTGACTTTTGTGGCTGTGCAGGTAGGTGTGTGTGTGTGTGTGTGTGTGTGTGTGTGTGTGTGTGTGTGTGTTTTCTAGCATGTTTCAGGCCTTAAGTGGATGGATGGAAAGTTAAAGGGATTTGCTGGAGGGATGCGCAACGGGCTGAGAGCTGAGAAATCTGAGTGCCCTCTTTGCTCTCCCCGCCCGGTGGCTGGGAAAGCCGGGGTACTGGCTCTTTCTGATTCACAGTGTCCAATCTGAGGAAGATCGCTTAAGGCCCCAGACCACTGACTACATTTTTCTTTTTCTTTTGTTTCTATATTTGCGTTCTTGACATTTCTTTTTCAAGCCCAATACTTAGATCTCAGGTGTGCCAACTTCATCAGTGCAGTGAACAAGCATTTACGGAGTGCCCGCTAGACACCAAGGCCCTGCTTGGAGTGCTGGCTGCGGAGGGGGAACACCCGATGCTCCTGGGGCTCACTTCATTCAAGTGGGGAAGACAGACAACAAATAAGTTTTAGAAAGTAAAACATGTCAAACATTAGAGTACATCAAATAGCAATAACTGCTAAAGAAAAAGAATAGAGTAGAGAAAGGGGGAAAAGGGTGGTCAAAGTTTTAAGTGGTACGACTAGGAAGCCGTCTCTAAAGAGGTGGTTGTTGTGCAAAGTCTTGAAGGAAGAGGTCTGTGCCCAAGTTATCTGGGGACAGACAGTCCTGGCAGAAGACAGACCCCTGAGGGCCCTGTGGAGAGGGCACAGCATACTTGAAAAAAAGCCACAAAGCCAACTGGCTGGATTTCTGTGTTAAAAGGATCACATTAACGGTTACATTAATAACAGACCCGGAGCAGGGGCAGTGGAGGGAAGACTTTGGCTGCTGTAATAACGCAGATGAGAGAGGATGCAGGCTTCGGTCAGGACGGGGGCAGGGGAAGTGGTGGGAGAGAGGAAGCCAGGGAAATAAAAGGCTTTAGCTCAAGATGCCATTTTCTGAGCCAGGAAGAAACTTTGCGTGGGGTTTTTTTTTTGCAGGTTGCAGCTATTAAGAACTCAGTTTTCAATATACGAACGGAGAAATCTATTAGAATCCAACGAGAGCTATCAAGAACCAGAGAGAGAGTAAGTGCCCTTTCTAACGTGAGTGATAAGGTACAGCCTCCACATAGTCTAGGCAGCCATTAACTAGAATGACACAGATCCTTCTGTAAGAATTTGGGAAAGTGCCCATAATTTATTGTTTCATGAAAAGATATGTAATTTGATTTCTGGAAGAGTAATGTATGTATATTGTTAATAAATTAAATACCTCTAAGGGATAGGCTGTAAACTTCTGTGGTGGTTAATTTTATGTGTCAACTTCGGTGGGCCACAGTATCCACATATCTGGCCAAACATTATTCTAGATGCTTCTATGAAGGTATTTTTTAGATGAGGTTAACATTTACATCAACAGACTTTAAGTAAAGCAGATTACTCTCCATAAATCTGGGTGAGCCTCATTCAGTCAATTGAAGAAGAAACAAAAGACCGACTTTCCAAGCAAGAAGACAGCCCTGCAAGGACACAGGCGGACGGGAGCTGCAACTCTTTCCTGGCGCCTCCACCGTCACATGGAAGAGTTGCTTAAAATCAACCAGTCCCTAGGCTGTGCACACTCACTGGCACTCCCTCTCTCTCTCTTCCCCCTCCCACCAGCCCTCCCTCTCTCTATAACATATATACACATAACACACAAAAACACATCTCGTCGATTCTGTTTCTTTGGAGAACCCTAATACAATTTCTTACAACATGGATTTAAATAATATTTAAAAATTTTAATTTAAAAAAAGGCATGCAATAATTTATTAGGAAAACAAGAATAACCACAAGTCTCAGGAGCAACACTTAAAATCTACATGACACTGGGCAAATGCTTATGCATATACTACTGTACATACATGATGAAGTTTACTGCATCTTTATACAAACTACAAATGCACATTATTAATGTCCTTCCTATCTCAATGGCTGCAAAATCACTACTGTCTTGATCCAAGCTACAAGCGTCTCCACTGATATTCTCAACAAACTCACAGAGCTAACAGAAATCCCCAATGTGAAGTTACAACCTGAACAAGGCACCCGAAGGACATGAACAGACATTTTACAGATTATAAATGATACCTAGCAAATGAATACGTGGAGAAATCTCAAATACAAAAGAAGTAAACAGAGAAATGTAATTAAAACAATAAGGTATCTCTTTAAACAGTTGTTTTGAAAACTGTAGTTAATGCTAACAATATACTTATAAATGCACAAGTATAAATTACAACTATGAACTTTTAAGCAGACTTAGTTAAATAATTTTGAAAATAGTAACTAACACTAGTAACAGTGCAAAGTGGTATTCTAATGTATGATGAATGGCATCTAAACAGATACAAAATAATAGGCAACTGTAAACTAAGCCTTAAAATCATTCATGGTTTTTACTCTATTTAGGAGGAAATCTATCTTATGTGTGTTTTTAAAAATACTTTATACATGTTTGAAAATCATTCAAAACATCAAAACAACAAAACACATGAAGTTGTTCATTAGAGCAAATGGCAAAAACTTAGGGGTAAGCTGAACATCTAATAGCTGGGACTCATAGATAAGTAAAATGTATCACATCTACTCATCAGAATGTTAAAGACAGTGCCACTAAAACAGTGCTAATATTTTACAGCTATGTGGAAAACGATTAACAGGGTCTTAAGTGAAAAAAATCAAGATACAAAAATTATGACTAAATTTCATTAGAAATGTGGAATTGGAAGGACCTACTACAGCCAGCCAGAAGGAAAACTGAGTGAAGCAAAAAATCAAGGGCACTATTTTCAAAATTACCTTTATATTGTATGTTCTTATTTTTATTACAGAAAATGGAGAAAAACCTCCAATAGAAAAAATGTACTTCAAATGCTCAACAAACTGCCAACAATTTTAAAAAAACGGTTTTCTCTCTAAATAAGAAATAGATAAAATTATTCTATCATAGAAGCATCTCTTAACACATTAAGGACTCTATTTCTTACCTGAAGACATCTCATTTAATAGCAAAACAAAACTATGATGAAGCCAAGTTCAAACACATGGGCTACAACTAGTTGAACTCTTTTTTCCTCTGTAAATTAAGAGAATATGCAGAATAATAATTTTTTCACACTTACCACTGTACCAAGAAACTGAATGCTCATGTTTCCACCAGCTTCTCGAGAAAGACACTGGAAAACAAAAAAAAAAGAAGTAAAATGAATTTTTATCCACACAAAATTGTGTACATGAATGTTCATGGCAGCATTGTTCCTAATATCCAAATAACCCAACTGTCCATTAACGGACATACATTACCTGATATACAGGTAAACAAAATAAGGTATATTCATACACTGGAATATTATTTGGCCATAAAAAGGAATGAAGCACTAATACATGCTACCACAAAAGTTAGTCACAAAGGAGCACATATTATATGATTCCATTTAACATTAAATGTCCAGAATAGGCAAATCCAGAGAGACAGAAGGTAGACCGGTGCAGTCTGGCCAGCATTATGCCCCATGACTTTCATGATGAGGTCATCAGTAATCCTCAGGCACCAGCGAGCAAAGGTTCCAGGTGTTCTCTTAGTTTGCTGATGAAGGATATGCCAAATGTCACACCTTTTCGCCAGTGTAGACTATTTTATGCCACTTTGTCAAGAAAAGGACTGGAAGAAATTTTTGATGACCCAAGGAATTAGGAGGAAAAAAAGTAAAACTTGGAGTTTCATAGACTTATCAGCAATTAGGATCAAAAGTAATAAAGATATGTGTACACTTTCCTATGTCCTGCTAAAAAGAGAAACACGCTCCTAACTCTAGAGTAGGAGGCCAAGGGGCAGAGACCGTCAGTGCCAAGTCTAGAATGGTTAGAAAATGCAGTAGATTCCATAGGTGCATTAGATAAAATTGTCCAGAAAAGAGAAGATGCCCTAGGACTTCTTCAGACTGCTTCAGAAAAAGCTAGACCTGGTGTTTGGATAAGAAACATCTTTGGAAGAATCATTTGGCACAAGGTTCAAGAAGTGGCCTTGGTACCCAAGTAACAGACCCACAGTAAATGATTCTTTGTAATGCCCTATGGGGAACATTTTGCAGACTGAGACTTGAGAAGCCAGACCACATTGAAACAAGGAGGAAAATTTTAGGAAAAAAAGAAAAAAGTACTATCTTCAGAAAAAGTTTCCCTATCTTTTTGAAGCCCAGAAGTTAAGTCTTGTGTAATATGTCTGAACTCCTAACTTATCATTTTGTTTTTCTTGGATAATAGTCTATATACAAAAGTAAATGTATGTTAAGTGATTTATAAAGAACCTGTGTTTTCAATCAAATGACTATTTACCTATCAAGTGGTCTGAGTGTTAATATGCCATGTTAATTCTGGAAGTGATTATGCTTCTACCAAACTTTTAAAAAGCTAAGTATAAAGTAAAGATTCAGTTCTCATTTTTTTCGGAAGGAAGGAAGGAAGGAAAGAAGGACAGATGGAAGGCAGGCAGGCAGGGTAACCAGCGGCCGCCTACAGGAGGGCTGGCAGGAAATTGGGAATGACTGCTCATCACTAGGAGGTTTCTTTCTAGGGGAGGAAAAATGTTCTAAATTTGATTGTGGTGATTGTCCAACCCTGTGAAGAGGCTAAAAACCACTGAATTGTACACTCTGGGTGAACTGTATGGTATGTGAATTATATCTCAATAATATGTTATAAAAATAAGTTAGAACTTGTTTAAGATAACGATGAGAACAATGCAATCACCTATGTCCAGAGAGAGGTTAGAAAAAGAAATAATCTCTATGCTATGCATTTATTTGCAAATAAAATTCAGAGAGAATTCGCCTCATCAGTTGATCTGTTCTGTCCCCATGTTGCTGGTCCGCGCTGTGATCCCCCCCTGCAAACACTTCTTTCACTGGCTCCTGGATGCTCTCCTGCCTCCTTGAAGGGCGGCTCTTTCTTAGCCTCCTTTGCTGGCCTTGCCTCTTCCTTCTACTTTGAGTTAATTTTTATATATACTGTAAGGATTCAGTTTCATTCTTTTGTATCTGGCAGACCCATGGCTTCTAGAGAAATCTACATGCTTATGGCTATCAAATTCATGTTTTCATTTTCTATTTGTCCTCTGAGTTCAAGACTCACATAGCAATTACTAACTGGACGCCAACACTTGGATATCTAATACACATCTTAAACCTACCAAGTCTAAACAGAATTCTTGACTTCCCTCCCCAAACCTCCTCCTCCCCTAGTCTTCCCATCTCAGTAAAGATTACCACCATTCACTCAATTGCTGACGCTTCATTCTTTAACTTCTTTCACACCCAGTATCTAATCCATCATCAATCTTTTCTGCCTTCCCTCCCAATTATATGTCAAATTAGTCCACTTCTTAACATCTCCACTGCTACCATCTTAGCCTAAGCCAAGGGTTAGCAAACTCTTTCTGTAAAAGGCCACCCTATAAACATTTCAGGCTTTGTGAGCCCAGAAGTAAAACTGAGGATATTATGTAGCTACTTATATAAGAGAAAAAACAAATTTTTTATATTTTTTGGCAATATTAAAAATATAATAATAAAACCAAGTACTTTTTTTTTTGTAATCCTGATATTTACAAGGAGAACAGAATTCTTTAAGGATAAAATTTTGTTTAATTGGGGATCAAAGTTAGTGCTCCCTATCATCAAAACTGTTGCCAATATTCACTTGTTAATGCTGATATGCAACAAGATTTCACGGATTTCATCTTTGAAAATGTCATTTTCCACAATCAAGTACTGCCAAATACCATATCAAGCCAGAGGAATATGGTTTTACCTGAATGTATTTATCCCTGGGCAGGCATTTATAGAAGCTTGTTTGATTGTTCTCTTGACATTTATCTTTAGCCTACCATTACATATGGTTTAACCACTTCCATCTGAAGGTTAGGTAGGAGGTCCTCAATAGTACAGTTAAGTGGGTTTGAAAATATGGAAATTTCCTTTGCTCTTACACTAAAGTTTGAAAAATACTGCTGAAAATGTAGTTTACCTCTTGTTCTAATCTTTTGATAGCCTAGAAAGTGTAAAAAGCAGCTCGACATTACTTGTGATTCAAATGTTGGTTGTTGTCAAAGTGATTTTTACCACAGTGTGAATTTTGCATGCAAGTTCTGTTTTGTTTTGCGATTTTAGTATGAGTTCATTAAGAAACACTATTATCAAGTCTGTAGCAAAGCTAATTTTCAAAGACATTCGATGTTTAGTAATAGTGGTTGAGGGTGGTTCTTCTGTTCAGAAAAATTCCAATCTTAGTCCTGAGCTAAAAAAAATACCCACAATAAACTTTACCACTAAACCACTGAACTACTGTGTGATAGCAAAAATCAAGACTTTAAGCTTCTACTTACAAACAAAAATTCCAAAAGCAGCCACAGATAAAAACGAATGAATGTGGTGGTGTTCTGTACTGTTCCGTGTATGTTCAGAACTGTAGAACTGTACTTATGGACACTGAAATTTGAATCTCATATATTTTCCATGTGTCATGAAATTATCCTTCTTTTAATTTTGTCCAACCATTAAAAAATTTGATAACCACTCAACTTGTAAGCCATACATAAACAGGCAAAGGGTTGGATGTGGTCGACTCGACTCCTGGTCCAAGTCGTCAGTACCTCCCACCTGGATGACTGAAGTAGTCATATAAACAATTTTCTTGCCTTTACCACTGGTTCCGAGTCCATCCTCCTCAGAGCAGGGATTTTAAATCACAACATATCACTCTTCTATTCAAATATCTTCAAAAGCTTCACAACAAGAAGTGAATAAAAGCCAAACTCTTTATCCTACAAAAACCTTAAATGATATGATCCCTGTCTATCTTTTCCCACCCTCCTAACTATACTCAAGACATCAGCCTTCCCTCTGGCCCCACACAAGCCAAGCTCGGTCCTGCCTCCTGGCCTTTGTAGTTGCCATTCAACCTACTTGGGGCTTTCTTCCTTGAGATTTTTGCATGGCTGTCCCCTTCTCCTCATAGGTTTCAACTCAATCCTAGGTATTCAGAGGCCACTTACTGACCACCTACCTAAACCTACCTACCCCCTCTAGGTAATTTCTATGAATCATCCTGTTTTATAGTCTTCATCAACCTTCTTAGTACTCAAATTACCTTATTTGTGTGTTTACATGTTTGGTATCTCTAGCTCCCCATTGTAATGAGAGAGAGAGAGAGAGAGAAAGAGTTAAGATGTGTAACTGGAAGAAAAAAAGAAGTGTCCAAACCTACATAAGTCAGCAATAAGGACGGACTTAAGTGATGGAAAATAGGGAAATAAAATTTCATTCAAAACTGGAACTTACCTCTATACAAGAAAGAGGAATATACACTTTCCCAAGTCTAGTATTAAGACCATTAGGTTTTAAAATCCACAACGAACAAAATACTCAATACCTACAATGGGTCTGAGGCCAAAACAAGTATGAACTAACTGCTTGATAAGGTAATAATAAAAATTAAAATAAAATAAAAATTAAGACTTTTATTTTCATTAAACATATCCCATTCTTATTAAATATTTTCTCCAAATATTTCATCCTTTTTCCTATTTATGTGACACTCATAGCTAGATAGAAATTTTCTTCTTCTCTCATTTTGGTAGTCTGCTCCAACATTTACAAAATACTGGTTTTTTTTCCTTTAAAGGATATTTAATATTTTATCAACAAAGTACTTTCAACTTTTGTTAGAATCAAAGTCATATAAAATTAGCAAGGTTGCTCACTCAAATACTAAAATAATAAATCAAAATCTCCAAAAATATCTACATAGTATAATAAAATCAGGGGCAATTTCACCTTTAAAAGTAATCTCACTGAACAGTCAGAGGAAGAAGTAGTAATAGTTTTCTTTTTCCCCTCACTGATTTCCCACTTGATACTATGTTTCAAAGGCCATTACTGTGGGATATGTCTTATCGATCTCCAGTGCAGCTGCTCGGATTATTTTCCACATTTACTATAATCAGTGTTTATACTACTCAAAACTCTCTTCTTCAGGCAGCTTCTAAAATATAATTTTCTAGTTAACAGATAGTAAAGGAAAAAAAAGTGGTGTGAGTGTGTGTGTGTGTGTGTGTGTGTCTGTGTGTGTGTGTGGTCGGGGAGTGGCTTCAGAAAGATATTTTCCCATTACATTAAAT